CACACACACAAAGCTGTCTCATGCATCGAAGAAATATTGTTTTTCTCCACTTTTCTTTGCATTTGGCTCCGTTTCACAACATTTTTCTTCTGTTCTCGCCGGGCTTTCCTGAAGCACACTCTGTCTAGACTCTTTCCCGCTGATCAATGCACCCTGAGCACGTCTGTCTTCACACCTAACCTCTGAGCCCCGACATTCACAAACAGTGGAGTTGCACAAAACTCACTTTGAGCAGGGAAACCGTTTTTAGAACCAGATTGGCGTGGATCAGTGAGTTCAGTCAGCTGTGGTGTTGTAAATGAAGCACAAACAAACAAACAAACAAACAAACAGACAAACGCTGAGACGGAGCTGCAAACCTCTGTGTTGCTGAATGTTGAGGGAAACGGGTGAAGCGGATTAAAAGTGGCGCTGTTCCAACAGTAAAACACATCTGGGAATGAGACCGCATGTAATCTAGACGGAAAGATATGCCTGCAAGCCAGATTTGCTCACAGTGTTTGTTACCATGGCGACAGAGTCAGAGCTATATACACACACCCCTCTTTCAGGAAACAAACACAATTTCCCTACAATCAGGCTTACCCTACTCTAGTTTCCACACAACCTGCTGTAACCTGCATGAACTTCCTGTCGCTGCGGCCCTCCGTCTCACACACTTGGCCTTGATTGGTTCGACGAGTGCAGCTAGGAACGAATTCCCTCAGCGAGCGGCTTGAGGTCAGGACTAGGAGGTTAAGTCAGCTGACAGCCGTTCTCATCGCGGCGTCTTCACACAGTCTTTAACTGAACTCTCCAGAACGAAGGAGGGCATTCTGGGTAAGTTCATCGCTCCTTCAGACCCCCCAACCCTCCCCCCTTCTCGCCTCACCTCCCTCTCGAGTGCGGAGACGCAGATCCCAGTAGGTGCTCATGTTCCCTCTGTGAGGCATGCCAGCATCTCTCACTGCTGTCAAAATATCATTTAGTTAACTGTCCCTATTGTCCCCCCAAACACACACACACACACACACACACACACACACACACACACACACACACACACACACACACACACACTGTAGCGCTGCGGCGGAAGACGGCTCCTCTCAGTGGGGCAAAAGTGGCTCAGAAAAGAAAACGGGAGCATGTGAGACAGAAATAATCAAATTAAAAGTGATTAGAGAACAATTAACCACAACAGTGGTTCTCCGTGCCGGGCTGTTGGAGAACGTGTGTGTGTGTGTGTGTGGGGGGGGGGGGGGGTACAGCTGGGTGAAGGCTGTGGCTTCACCAAGATCAAAAACCAACGTCCTTTTTCTTTTATCCTCTCATGAGTTTGTTTTCTTAACGTGAAATTTAACATCCCAGAAAACAGGAAGTTCGTTTGGAGCGTTCAGGTTTTAAAGCAGCAGCGTTCTTCATTATTGTTCTGTTTTCAGCTCGTCTTACGTTTCAAGCATTTCTGAATGTTTTTCAAACGTTTTGCTGCATTTTCTGAGCAAAAACACCCAACCCAGCTCTCATCCATCCTGTTGTCTCTTGCAGAACAATGAGCCCTTAAACCCTGGTTTCCATGGATACCCACCTCACAGTCAGGTAAGAGACGAGAGCGGCGTTTGCCTGTAAATCGCTGTAATGATGAATATAAAAGTGACCGGCCACAGAAGTCCTTGACTCTCTCTTCAGTTGTCTGGCTGCTGTGAAAACTAAACGTCCAGTTCTAAGAGTTTAGCGTCCCAGAAGTATTGAGTCGCTGCCGCGTGTTTCCCACAGAATAGTCTAGCGTTTCTGCCGTGATGCGTTTGCGTCTGTGTGGACGTGTGTGATGAAAGTGTTAGGGAGGTATTTTATAATCCCCTGGGCCGATTGGAGTGAAGTCTCAGAAAGTATTCGCTAGATTTGGAGTCGACCTTAACAGCGATGGCGTCTGCAGCTGACCATCGTTAGCAAACACAAGAACGACTTCAACTCAGCCAGTTTGACAGATGTGGAGCTGAACGATGCATCAGTAGCTGAGAGGACTTCAGGATCCACCCGCCATGACATTAACTAGAGTCGTCCTTAGTTGAAACTCTCCCGACAGCTGATATTTACCCACGACAGGCTAGTGTGTGACGTTTACACTTTTTTAAACGTATTTAAAGATAAAAACCATTCAAGCCGACCCGCAGCCGAAATGGGCCCTGAGCTGTGGCGTCGATGTCTCTGAGAGGAGCTGGTTCTGACTCAGCCTCGCGTTCAAAGAGCGGAGCTGTGGAAAGTGGAGGGAAATGATCTCAACTGCTCGGAGCGGCGCTCGGCACACTCCACTCGCACGTTCGTTTTTACAAGACGGCTCCTGTCCGTTCACGTCTTCCCTCCCTTCATCCCGTCCTCATTGTGACTGTGCTCTTGGCTCCCAGTAATCAGTGCAGAGGTGGGCTAACTGGCTGCGTATTTACCTTCCAGTAAGAGGTGTGTGTGTGTGTGTGTGTGTGTGTGTGTGTGTGTGTACACAAACGTCAGATGCAGCTGTGAGAGCTAACGAGCTTGGATTTTGCTGTTTCGAGTGTTTTTTGGGATGTGCAGCTCTCTGGCAGTGCCACAGGAGGGGGGTGTTGGTCTTTTAGCCTGTGCACCCCCCCCCCCTCCCTCCCCTCATGGGAGATTTTCTTGAACCTCACCTCTCTCTCTCTCTTTCTCTCTTTTTATTTCCTCCCCCTCACTCTGCCCGACTCTCCGCTTGAGCTCCATCGCCAACGCTCTGTGGCGTTAAATCGAGACGTTATCGGAGTTATGAAGTAAAATAAACATTTTCCACCCCTCGTGATGAGTATCGGTGTGTTTTGGGTAGAGTGCGCTCTTGAAAAGACAGATAAAAGTAAGGAAAGGGTGGAGAGGTGGAGCAGAAACAGAAACATGATACACAAGGCTGCTTGCTTGCGGGGCGCCGAATCACACACAGTTGGGTTCTTCTGCTTGGAAGACAAAAATGCCACTGAGCTGCTGTATGTTTGAACTTCTCGAGTCATTCGTTAACTCCAGCCCGCTCCGTGTCACCAGTGCGCTTGTTTTTTTTAAACCATTTAAAAGCAATTCCTGCTCATATCTTCTGCCCTTGAGCAGCACACGTTAGGCTTCGCCAGCGCACGGGCTGCTGGTTGTCATGCAAACGGGGTTAGCCAAGCCTTAGGAAGATTGGCTTGATCGGAGCTGCAGTACATTTGTCTTGCAGCGCTCCTGTCGTGTGTTATTTATGTGTCTGAGCTGCCCGTAGGTCTGCCTGTGTCGATATGAGTGTGTTAACTAATGAAAGCTTCAGCAGGTCTCTGCTGCTGCTCTGAGCAGAGGGGCGGGAGGGGATGGATGAGTGTCCACGGCTAGCCTGACTTTTACCAAACATTGCTGCTGCATTGATGAGTTCAGAGTCAATAACGCACGCACACACACACGCACGCACGCACTCACGCACACACACACACACACACAATCTATCCACATCAGCATTTTCCCCCGCTGAGCAGAGGCGTGTACTCGTAGCAGGTCATAAGTCCCAGATGTGCGGTTCTCTTGACGATAAAGGGTTTTTACCTTCGATCAGCCAGTTTGGGACACTGATCAATAAAAGAATGAAGAAAATAGATTTTGCTGGAGATTCTAGTTTGGATGGCAGTCCCAAATTTTTGATTTTTGACTAAAACTGATTTAAACTGAAGTTGTTCAGCCGTGGATTGTTTTAATTCGTCGGTCTGATCATTCATTCTCTTCTATCCGCTGGTCTGTTGGCCGAGTTGCTGTGCAGCAGTAAAGACTTATTTTCCATATGTGCACCATTTCCAGGTGCTAATTAGCGCTAGCGCTAACAGATGTTCTGTGTGGGAAATCAAAAGTCCGAAGCCGCTATCGGCTGTTTCTGACGCTTTTGTTTTCCTCCGCGAGTCAGATCACAGCGCATCTGTATGCACATTGTCTGCATGTGTGTGTTACCGTTTTCGGTGTGTGTACTTAATCCTGAGATCATCCTCTATTCATCCTCTCATCCTCCTCACTTACAGCCCTAATCCTGTCATCCCCCGCTCGTTTTCCCACCCAGCTCTTTATCCGTTTATCTCTCTATCCCGTTATCTCTCGCTCACATCCACCGCCCCCGCCCCTCCGCTCTCCAGTCCTGTCCAGTTCCTCCCGTTTGCCCCCCTCCAGCCCCACTTATCTCCCCCTCCCCCTTGCATCCCTCCACCCCCCTGGACCCAGTTCTCGCCAGACTCAGCAGATGTCTGAATGCTTGGCATCAGTGCTTTTTCCCGCAGAGTTCAGTCCCTCCCATATGAAAATGCAGCGCAAGGAACTGCACTCTCGCCTCTGCAAATGAAGCGCCCCCTAACAACGCAGCGTTGGAAAGTGACGGAACCGAGCCAGAAGCAAAAGGCGCAATGCAGCGAAACACAGATTCATGTTCAGGTTGAGCCCCAGGTAGTGGAGCTGCGACTCCCATCGGTGTTCTGAAGACGGCTGCAGCAGAGAGATGGTGATCTAGGAGCCTACCCACGCAGCCAGCTCCTTCGCTGTCTACTGGCTGGCCTACCTACCAGTGCTTTTTGCAGCTGACAGGCTGCCATGCAATAAATAAATCATCAAAAACAGCTGCAATGCAGTGGGGGTCGCATGTGGTGGTTCTAGGCAGTCATTGCGTGGATGGAAGACGGCATCGCCTTCCTTTCCTGGTTCTCGTGTCTCCAGGGGCTTGAAGAGGCAGCAGCAACAGTTTTCTGACTTCATCCGGAGACGGGTTAGATGGGAACACGGAAGGATGGATGCTTTGATGGATAGGAGGTCTTTGAGGCTGGAAGGGAGGGAAACTTTTTAAAAGAGGGGCGGGAACAAGAGGCGGCAGGGGGAGCAGGAAGACGCAAGTGTGTGAATGACAGACTCGGCGCAAAGAGAAGAGAGAAGAGACTCGGGCTGGCAGGAGGAACGAGACGGAAAGGCCCAAGGGGGATCAGAGTGGCCAGGCCGTGGAGAGTGACAGGCAGCCGAGAGTTTGCGTGCCGGAGGAGTGGAAGAAGAGGCGCTCGCTAAGGAAGAAGTGGGTGGGTGGTGGGGGGGGGGGGGGGGGGGGGGGGGAAGATGAACGAGGGAGAATTTGAACGTGTGAGACAGACGTGGAGCAAAGCCATCGCCAGCTCATGGTCCTAGAGCACAGGCACAGGAGAGGAGGAGTAGCAGGAGAAGAGGAGACACAAAGGGAAGGAGAGGGGAGCAGGACCAGGATAGTGGAGTGGTCAGCAGTTGTTCCTCTACGTCAGACCATGATGGGGCTGTACTACCCTGCCATGCTCCCGGTAAGTTCTCATCTCTAACGGAGCATCTTTTCGGTTGGTCGAAGCAACCGGAGCTGGAAAAACTATTATTTCTCACAAGTTTAGTTTAAACGGCGCCGTTTACAGTCCAGCCTGTGCCTCGGCCCAGGTGAGGCCTCTGGCAGACAGTTGGCAACGCTTTAAGCCCGCAGCAGGGCTCGTCTCTGCAGCTCAGCTCCTTTCCCTTTCTAAAGTCATACAAGCAAGTGTCTCGTTTTAAAATACAGACCGTGTTCTCGTTGCGTCATCGCTCCGTAGTAGTAAACACATAGTCTTACGTAAACGCCGAGGGTAAATCACTGTTGATGTTGTGTGTCGGACTGATTTTACCATATGGTGGGTGTGTTTGTGCCACTTTAGCTGAGACAGCCCGAGGACGAGAGCTTCTCTCCGCTTCTGTTCTAGCTCGCCTGGTTGTGGGTTCTTTTGGGCCCGAGGTGAACGTACGCAGACACAAGGTAGCAAATGCCCGCCTTGACATGCATGTTCACGGTTTGGTAATGGTGAAGGTTCTCGGTAAATCCTCAATAAGACAAAAGAAAAGAATCGGTCTACAAGAATGGAACCAAGCTGTCTTCATGGAAACAAAGATGTCCCGTTGCCGTTTAGGTTTACACTCGATACTGGAAGCTTTCTCCGTGCTGACTGCACACTGTGTCACGTCACGTCATGCGCTCAGAGGACAGAGGCGAAGGTTTTGTTGAGCGATTTTAACGTTGTCATCCAAGCTGTCCGTGCTGTTTAAATGTCATCTGTCTCTCGGATTGAGGGAGGCAGGTGGCACGGCTCGGTCCTTTCTGAGCACAGAAACCACTTCTGGAGTACTTCAGCCCCCTCAGTTAGGACCAAAGCCTGCATGTGTTCATCATGTGACACTTTCAGTATATTTCAACATGGAAAATGGGGAAAAAGTAGTTGAACTCGTTTGTGAAACGTTGCTTTGTTTTATTTCGGGCTCCACAGTTGATCACATTTATGTTCCAGTTCTAATTATGACCAAATGATCAAAACATGCAATCGGCACACCGGCAGCATCAAAAATGCACCTGCTTTATCATACGCTGTGGGTTAGGGTCTCTCTGTGTGTTCCTGTGATGGACTGGGGACATGTCCAGGTTGTCCCCCGTCTCTTGCCCAGTGACTGCTGGAGATGGACACCAGCTCCCTGTAACCTTAGCTAGAAGCTGTTGAATGAGTTTCAGGTCAGATGATTCAGATTTGTTAAATATTGGTTTATTCTGATCAGCAGATAATTTTGGT